AGATCCAAATGACTCTATGAAGAGACTATTGAAACTCATAAAAGAGTTATCAAAGTGGCAGCATATAAAATTAACAAACAAAAATCAAAGGCTTTATATTCATAAACAATGCCATGGCTGAGAAAAAACTTCTTTTTTAACTTTTATTTAATAAATATAAATTTCAAAAGTACAACTTTTGGATTATAGCAGCTTTTTCCCCTCATAACCTCCCTCCCACTCGCAATCATCCCATCTCCCACTCCCTCTCCCAACCCATTCTTCATCAAGATTCATTTTTAATTATCTTTATATGCAGAATATCAACTTAGTCTATACTAAGTAAAATTTCAACAGTTTGCAACCATACAGAAACACAAAGTATAAAGTATTCTCTCTAGAGTGAGGCCAGATATAAATACATAAACTACTAAATATTTGAATAATTATTGAATAATAAAGGAGGATACAGCCAGAAAAAGAGTATCATTAGAGTTCATCATTAGTCTTTATCAGTTATTATGGCCACTAAAGTTTTCTATCTTATTCTACTATATTCAGGTTCTTATTAGAGACTGACCTTCTGTGAGTTTTGAAGCTCTGCACATGAAGGAAGGATAACACCCAGAGAAAAGCAATGAATATGAATAACAACTTGGAATTAAGGCCTCAGAGGGAGGTTTAAAGAAGCTGAAGTTGAGAATCTTGATATCAAAATAATGACTTCAAGATCCTGAATCACAATATAGGCACTTTCATCTTCATCTTCACAGTGAATGCATTATAGACTTGAAGCAAGTAAGATCATATTGGACCAAACAGGAAAAAAATACTCACAAATATTAACATGAGTTTAATGCTAAGAGGTACAGACAGAAGCTATAATTGCTCATGTAGAATGCTGTGGACACCTGCTGGGAGGTTTTAGGCAAAATAATGATATATATCTGCATTCCATTGATTCTTCTTTTGCTTTGCTGCCCTCCCCTTTTTCAATGGTTTGTTGATTTATTTTGAAAGTCAGAATTAGAGACATAGGGAGAGGCAGAGAGAGATCTTCCACCTGCTGTTTCACTCCCCAACTGGCCAATATAGCCACACCTGGGCCAGATCAAAGCCGGGAGCTTCTTCAAGCTCTCCTCAGTGGGTGGCAGGAGTCTGAACACTTGGGCCATCTGCCACTGATTTTCCCAGGCCATTAGCAGGAAGCTGGATTGAAAATGGAGCAACCAGAACACAAACCAGGGCCCCATGGGATGCCCGTGTTGCAGACTGCAGCTTTACTCACTACACCAGCATGCCATGCTGATTATTATTTTCTTCTTCCTTCTTCCTTCTTTCTTCTTCCTTCATCTTCCTCTCCTTCCTCTTTCATTTCTCTTCGTCTTCCTCCTCCTTCTCCTCTTTCCCTTCTCTTTCTCCTTTTTTTTTTTCAGGCAGAGTGGACAGTGAGAGAGACAGAGAGAAAGGTCTTCCTTTGCCGTTGGTTCACCCTTCAATGGTTGCCATGGCCGGCGCGCTGTGCCCATCCAAAGCCAGGAGCCAGGTGCTTCTCCTGGTCTCCCATGGGGTGCAGGACCCAAGCACTTGGGCCATCCTCCACTGCCCTCCCGGGCCACAGCAGAGAGCTGGCCTGGAAGAGGAGCAACCGGGACAGAATCTGGCACCCCGACCGGGACTAGAACCCAGTGTGTCGGCACCACTAGGCGGAGGATTAGCCTATTGAGCTGCGGCGCCGGCCTCTCTTTCTCCTTTTCTTCCTCCTCTTCTCCTCCTCCTTCTCCACTTCCTCTCTCCCCTCACCCCCTTCCCCTTCTACCCCTCTATTTTCCTTTTAAAGATTTACACACAGATATTTTTCTAATTTTTATGCCTATTGTCTCTCTCCCACTAGTTGATAAGCTCCACAAAGGCAAGGACTTCTGGTTATTTTGTCACTTTCTGTATTCATCAGTGCAAGAAAGCTTTGAAATCTATCCACAGGTTTTTCATAATACACTGCACAAGTTTTCATAATACACATTTTCATGAACTTTTTAAAAACTACTTATATGCATGGATTTCAAAAATTTTTCTATGAAAATGTTTATCTTTTAATTCCATTTTCTATGAGTTTAAAAAATATTTATTTTTTTGAGAGGCTGAGAGACAGAAAAGGAGAGAGATACAGATAAACAGACAGTAAGAGTTCCCATCCACTAGTTCACTCCTCAAATGCCTGCAACAGCTGGAGATGGGCCAGGGCCATAGCCAAGAGTCAAGAATGAAATTAACTTCTCCCATCTACCACTGTTGACTCACAGAGGCTGCATTAGCAGGAAGCTGGAATCAGGAGACAGAGGTGGGTTTTGGAACCTGGGTACCGTGAAATGAGTATGATGCAGGCATCTTAACTGGTAGGCTAAATATCTGCCATTCCATGAATTTTCTGAAATGGCCTCATATAATATCAAAGTCAAACTATACAGATAACTTTATGACTGCAAAATTAAACAATGATATTAAATAGAGGATTCAAGCCACCACCACCTTAATTCAGTGGATAATCTTAGTGTCATTAATAGTAGAACAACCAGATATTCCATGTTTTTTAGTGATGCAACGTGAAATTGATAACATCATATGTGGTATTATTTTTCTTTTCTTTTTTAAAATATTTTTATTTATTTATTTGACAGGTAGAGTTGCAGACAGTGAGAGAGAGACAGAGGCAAAGGCCTTCCTTCCATTGGTTCACTCCCCAAATGGCTGCAACGGCCAGAGCTACGCTGATCTGAAGCCAGGGGTCAGGGGCCTTCTCCCGGTCTCCCATGCAGGTACAGGGCCCAAGCACTTGGGCCATCCTCCACTGCACTCCTGGGCCACAGCAGAGAGCTGGACTGGAAGAGGAGCAACCGGGACTAGAACCAGCGCCCATATAGGATGCCGGCACCACAGGCAGAGGATTAACCTACTGTGTCACAGCGCCGGCTCCCATGTGATATTATTTTTCCAAATGTGCTTAACTTGCATCCATACAGCCTTGGAAATAACTTTCAGTATATAATCTAAAGAACAAGGTAAGGGCCGGCGCCGCAGCTCACTAGGCTAATCCTCTGCCTTGTGGCGCCGGCACACCGGGTTCTAGTCCTGGTCGGGGCGCTGGATTCTGTCCCGGTTACCCTCTTCCAGGCCAGCTCTCTGCTATGGCCCTGGAAGGCAGTGGAGGATGGCCCAAGTGCTTGGGCCCTGCACCCCATGGAAGACCAGGAGAAGCACCTGGCTCCTGCCATCGGATCAGCGCGGTGCGCCGGCTGCGGTGGCCATTGGAGGGTGAACCAACGGCAAAAGGAAGACCTTTCTCTCTGTCTCTCTCTCTCACTGTCCACTCTGCCTGTCAAAAAAACAAACAAACAACAACAACAAAAAAGGTAAAATTTCCACAAGGAAGCATCCAGACAATACATACTGCTAGATGGTTTAGTCACTCAAAGAAAAAGATAAAAAGATAGATAAAGGATAAGACTATGATGTGCAATCTGTGGAATGGTTGAGTGTGTTTCATATAAAGGGGGTATTAGGATCCATAAGGAAAGATCTAAGTTATTTTTAAAAAATATTTATTTATTTATTTGAAAGAACCAAGGAGAGGAGAGAGAGAGAGAGAGAAAGAGAGAGAGAGAGAGAGAGAATCCATCTGATGGTTCACTTCCTAGATGGTCACAATAGCCAGGGCTGCGCCAGACCAAAACCAGGAGCCAGGAGCTTCTTGCAGGTCTCCCATGTGGGAGGCAGGGGCTCCAACACTTGGCCATCTCCTGCTGCCTTTCCCAGGACATCAGCAGGGAAGTGAAGCAGCTGTGGCACAGGCCTGTTCCCATGTAGGATTCTGGCATTGTAGGCAGTTGGCCTTAGCTGCTACATCACAACTCCAGCCTGTAAATTTTAATATTAGGTGAAAGTAACATTTTCTGAAGTAAGATTGGTGAATGTGACCTGGAAATAGTAGCTTTCAAATGAACATGTAGAGTAGATCTCATTTAGGTAAAAAGATGAACTAGTTTCACTTTCAGGAAAACAGTTTGAAGGCTTATGTACAGAATGATGGGATTATTGCCTTATATTTAAAGTTGGATTAATTGAGCTTGGATTAATATTTATCATGTTTTCAACTGTTTTCTGTTCCTTATCTTTGTTCTTTGTTTCTTTCCCTGTTTCTGTTTTTGCCTTATCTAGTCTTAATAGAGCATTTTATATTATTCCACTTTGTTTCCTATATTATATCAACTATACTGTTGATTTTGCATTTGTAATTCATCCGGGCCTACTTGCTTCATAGGTAGCCCAAGTACTTGTAACAGTGTTCTGACACTTCCTTTCCATCTCTTACAACATTGCTGTCAGACATTTCATTTGTACATAATTGTTAATGGTTAAATATATAGGGGTTATTATCACTATATTTTTTAAAATTGAAGTGGTTGCCTGAGAGAAAGAAATCTCAGTTATTTGATCCAGTGTATTAGATTGCTTGATTATTATTATTTTCTCCTTGCTTCCCTTCCTTTCTCTCTCCCTCCCTGTTTCTCTCTCTACCTCCCATATAAATAAATAATTTTTTAAACATATGATCCATTTCTAGTAAGCATTAGCAATATATATCTCTCTTTGGCCTCTGTCTTCTTTTTATCTCTTTCTTGCCATCACCACTAATACATTTATTTTGGATTTTTTTTATTTTATTAACTTTAAAATATTTTATTTATTTTCATTTCATTTAAAAGGCAGAGACACAGAGAGAGATATTCCATCCACTGGCTTACACTCCAATTGGCTGCAATAGTCAGAGCTGGGTCAGGCTGAAGCCAGGAGCCACAATCTCAATCTGGATCTCCCATTGGAGTGGCAGGAACTCAAGCACTCCATCTATGACCCGCTGCCTCGCACAGTGCACTTTAGCAGGAAACTTGATAGGAAATAGAAGACTGGGATATGAGTGTCTTAACCACTGTGCCAAATATTTGCCCCTCATTTCAAATTTTTTAAGAAAAATATTTATCCTCATCATTAATCTTGCCTTGAAGTTTTTCATCTTCAACAGTTGCCTTCATGTTGAATGCATAGGATTCAAGTGAATTCTTGGAAGACACCTTGTCCCTCTGCTTCTCATCTTCAGCCTTATACTTCTCAGCTTCCTGGACCATACGCTCAATGTATTCCTTGCTCAAATGGCCCTTGTCGTTAGTAATGGTGATCTTGTTCTCTTTTCCTGTACTCTTATCCACAGCAGATACATTAAGAATGCCATTGGCATCAATATCAAATGTGACTTTGATCTGATGAACACCACGGGGTGCAGGAGGTATGCCTGTGAGCTCAAATTTGTCGAGCAGATTGTTATCCTTGGTCATGGCACGCTCACCTTCATAAACCTGAATGAGCACGCCAGGCTGGTTGTTGGAGTAGGTGGTGAAGGTCTGTGTATGCTTGGTAGGGATGGTAGTATTGCGCTTGATGAGGACAGTCATGACTCCACCAGCAGTTTCAATCCCAAGTGATAGAGGAGTGACATCCAACAGCAACAGATCTTGAACATTCTCAGATTTGTCTGCAGACAGGATGGGTGCCTGGACAGCTGCACCATAGGCAACAGCCTCGTCAGGGTTGATGCTCTTATCCAGTTCTTTTCCATTGAAGAAGTCTTGAAGCAGCTTCTGAATCTTGGGAATTCTAGTAGAACCACCCACCAGGACAATATCATGGATCTGAGACTTATCTAACTTGGCATCTCGAAGGGCTTTCTCGACAGGGTCCAGGGTGCCACGGAAAAGGTCAGCATTCAACTCTTCAAATGGAGCACGGGTGCTGGAGGTATAGAAGTCGGTTCCCTCATAGAGAGAATCTATCTCAATGCTTGCCTGGGTGCTGGAAGAGAGGGTACGTTTAGCTCGCTCACAAGCTGTGCGGAGACGCCTGACAGCTCTCTTGTTCTCACTGATGTCCTTCTTATGCTTGCGCTTGAACTCGGCAATAAAATGGTTGACCATTCAGTTGTCGAAGTCTTCTCCTCCTAAGTGGGTGTCTCCAGCTGTGGATTTGACCTCAAACAAATGCAACGAAATCATCAACTGGCTGGATAAGAACCAGACTGCAGAAAAGGAAGAATTTGAACATCAGCAGAAAGAGCTGGAGAAAGTCTGCAACCCAATCATCACCAAGCTGTACCAGAGTGCAGGGGGCATGCCAGGGGGCATGCCTGGGGGCTTCCCTGGTGGGGGAGCTCCTCCATCTGGTGGTGCTTCCTCAGGGCCCACCATTGAAGAGGCTGAGTAAGCCAATCCCATTGTAGATGCAGCATTGTTCCACACAGTAAAAGATGGAAGGACCCAAATTTGTAGCAAATTCTGTGGCAGTTTTAAAGTTCAGCTGCTATAGTAAATTACTGGGCATTCTCAATATTTGAATATGGAACATGTGCACAGGGAAAAGAAATAACATTGCACTTTATAAGCACTGTATCTAAGTGGAAAATGCAATGTCTTAAATAAACCTGTATTTAACATTGGCACCAAAAAAAAAAAAAAAAGAAAAATATTTAAGGGATTTTTTCCTACCAAAACTCTCCCTGATTTTAGTCTTATTTGCTCTTTTCATAAACAAGCAATGCCTTGATTTTGTTGTTTTTTAAATGTTTGATTTTACAATTTTATATAAATACAAACTGAATGTTTCACTGTTCATTAAAACATACATGTCCATAATTTGCTTACATGAGCAGTATTTTCCCAGGTGTTTGAGCTTTACATAGTATTCCAATGTTTTGAAACTTCCTTTTTTTGTCAACATGATTTATTTAAAAAAATATTTATTTATTTGAAAGGCAGAATTTACAAAGAGAGGGAGAAACAGAGAGAAGGAGATATCTTCCATCTGCTGGTTCCCTCCCTAAATGGCAACTGTGGCTGCAGGTGAGTCAGTCCAAAGCCAAGAGCCAGGAGTTTCACGTGGGTGAAAGAGGCCCAAGGATTTGGGCCATCTTCTTGCTGCTTTCTTAGGCACATTAGCAGGGAGCTGGACTGGAAATGGGGCAGCCAGGATTCGAACCAGTACCTATATGGGATACTGGTGTTGCGGGTGGCAGTTTTACCTGCTTTGCCGCAACACTGGCCCCAACATGATGTTTTTGAAATTGATCCATGTTGCTACAAGTAGAAATAAAAATAATTTAGCCATTTTGTCTATCATATAGTGTTTCACTTATGCATATGCAAAATGTCTTATTTAACAATATTTAGGTTCCATTGTTTTGATTTTATAAACAATGCTCCTGCTAACATTTTTTATTTCTTCTTGCATGCTTGTTAGAGAGTCGCTGGAAGATTCCAGTGTATATACAGGAGTGGGATTGATAGATGTTAGGCAAGGTTGATCTTAAACTTTATTAGATGTTGCCACATTGTGTTCCAAAATTCCATCAGCAATGAATGAAACTTCCTCCTGTATCACATCTGGCCAACACTAGAGTTTTAGACTCCTTAAATATTTTTCTTTCCTCCCTGTCTCCATTCCTTTCTCTCTCCTTCACTTTCTAGACTTTTAAAATGTGTCAATTTGATAAATGTGAATTTGATATATGTGAGATGACCTCACATTCTTTAAATTGCATTTTCCATATTACTATTAAAGTTAAAACTATTTCCACATATCAATTAACCTGGTGAATTTCCTGTCTTGTAAATTTCTCATTTTCTGCCAGATTATTGATTTATGCATTCTTTATGTATTTAGTATTCTAATTTTTTGTTAGTTATGTATTTTGCCTTTTTTCTCCCAGTGTGCAGCTTATTTCTTTCCCTTGTATGTTTTATGTTTCAATAATTTCAATATAGTGAATTTATTAATTTATTTTCAATATAGTGAATTCATTATCTTTTATCTTTTTGTGGTTTTTGTGTCTTATTTAATAATTTCTTATCTCAATATTGTCTAATATCCTGTATCTTCTTCTAGAGTTTTTATAAAGTCATACTTTACACATTTAGGTAAATATTCCTTGAATTTTTCCAAAGTTTATATGGTATAAACTACAGAATTAGGCAGCATTGACTTATTGGGCCCTCCTTTCTGCATGCATTAAATACACTTCTGTGCTACATCAACTATCAATACTTGTGGTTGTTTTCCAGTTCCACACATCTATTTGGCTATCCTGAAGTCACTGTCGCCACACTCATGAATGACATGAAATGACATTTTTTTTGTATTGTTATACATCATTTAATTAGATATTATTGGCACATATATTGTTACTATTTGTAGTATGATGATCTTGAATTTTCCCATCTTGCTTAACTTCTCATAATGCTTTTATTATTGACTTGAGTCCAAAGACCCAGATCCTACTCTTCTATTTTAAATTATTTGAGAGAGTTATAGACAGTGAGAGAGAGAGAGAGAGAGAGAGAGAGAGAAAGGTCTTCCTTCCGTTGGTTCACTCCCCAAATGGCTGCTATGGTCTGCGCTGGGCCAATCTGAATCCAGGAGCCACGTGCTTCTTCTTGGTCTCCCATACGGGTGCAGGGACCCAAGCACTTGGGCCATCTTCCACTGCCCTCCCCGGCCACAGCAGAGAGCTGGACTGGAAGAGGAGCAACCGGGACTAGAACCCTGAGCCCTAGATCCCACTCTTAACTTTATCATTAACTAATTGCATGTAATTGGAAAAGCTACTAGTGTCACTAAATTTTGGTATTCTCTTTAGAAAGAGGTGGGTGCTAATATCTAATTTACAAGGTAGGGTTGTTGTGGAGGTTAAATAAGAAAGTGAATGTTGACATCCAGTCCAAAGTAGAGGGCCCCAAGGTGCTTGTTATTGTGAAAATTTTTATTTCTCGTTCATTATCTGACAAACAGCAAATACTTGATACAGGCTAATTAAATTAAATTTTATAGACACATATATTCCCTGGAGGCCCTTCTTGCCATCTGAAGTCCCAGCTTACTTTATGACATTTCTTTGGTTATGAAGTTGCAAGTTTCACTTGTTTCCTCTTTTGAATAAAAATGTACTACCCCTTTCTTAATGAAATCCAAAACACTTGGCTGGGGAAACTATTCCAGAGGAGACAGCCTACATGAAGAGCACAAAATTATCTCTTAGTTTCAGGTGAAATAGGTGTGCTTTGCATGATTCATTAGAGATACTAAAGATGTCAGGGAAAAAATGGCCATTACAATTACGTGACTTTAAAGTATTTTCCAAAAGAGCCGTATCTGTCATCAGTTATGAAAGCTGACCAAACGCACATGATGACAGACAGACAGCTGGTTCTTATTCATATTAAGTTCCTCTCAAGCAAAAGGAATGTTAAGGCAATCTGGCCTCATATTATGTAGATTCCACCGTAATTACATTTGTTATTTCCAGGCAATGCAGTAAATCACGTTGTGGCAAGTAGGTGGATATTTCACAGAAGTAATTTCGGAGACCATTAAATAGATCATGTTCTGTTGAACTCTCTTCTGCCTCGAGACAAATAACGTCTAGTCCAGGCATGGGGGAGGGGGCAGATGAAAAGCAAACTTATTTCCTTTCAAAGATGGGAAAACCATGTATTTCCACGTGTAGATTTAAATGTGTAAGAAACAAAGGAGTCCAGTTAAGGCATAGGAGTGTCAAAGGAATGGGCAGACTGCCCCCATGCAAGAGATGTGCTATCTTTCTGTTCTCATTTCAAAGCTGCCAAGTCCAGCTGCTTCCCAGGCGGTTGTGTCCCTCCCCCAAACACACCTGCTATCCCAGTGCTTTACACTGCTGAGGGATAGACTGGCCATTAATTAATGTCCACAGCACAGAGCTTTATGACCCTTCTGATTTCATTAGAGTTAGAAAATCTGTGGCACTTACTCTCATTCACACAAGGCCAAATGCATTTAGAATCCTTTAATAAACCAATTGCATAAAGACTAAATTCAGAAAAGATTCTAATATAGACACTAAATGATCATTTTGTTGTCTAAAAGTCGCTGTTCAAACTGGTCATGATTCTTCTTTTATCTTGTGATCTGACATCCCATTAACAGCAGCTTTCTCAAGTATTACCATGATGCAAGAAGAAAGAAAGCAAAAATGAATTCAACTTTAAAAGGCAGCCTCGCCTCCACCACAGATTTTTCCAGAATAAAATTCAGGTCCAAGAAGGGGGTATCTTTTGTTATGGACAGTAGAGACTTTGTTATCAATTGCTCAATGCATTTTAAACAGTTGGAGAACAGAAAATCTATATTAATTTAGGAGAAAACTGCCTGGAGGCCTTAGGAAGAGACAGCCTGTGGAAGACCTTCCCAGCTCTAGACAGTTTCTTGAGGGAGCGCACGGAATGAATCCATGTGGACTGGAGGCAGGGCTCTTCATCCACAGGTGAAAGGTAACTTGGTGCCAGATTCCATGAAAAAATCCAGTGCCATGGTGTTGAAGATTTTCACTTCATGTCTCTTTAGAGAATTGGACTCTTCTCCCTGTCCCCATGGCATCGTGTTTTCACTTGGGAAGTGCTCATCTAAGTTGCTTACCATATATCCCATTGGATTTCATTTAGAGAGCTTGAAATCAGAAGAAAGAGAGAGAGAATTATCAAAGCATTATTTGTATTAATTTTAAATTAGTGTAATTACAGATTGAATTTCTATTAGTTAAATGGAAAAAATACTTTTTCCCTGGAATGCTTTATTTTCTCTTTTTCGTCTCATACTATCTGGTGGATATTCAATTTGCTGGGACTCCACAAGAAGAAAAGAAACTAAGAAGTGGCTAACAAAAAGAACTTCTATTCCTTAAAAAAATACCTTCTATTAGTGAAGAACATAAAATAAAAATGTAGACACTGTTTACATTCATTTACTTCATCAATATATGATGCTTCAAAAACAGCACAGAAAGAGCTTATTAAAGAAATGGTTCTTTCCCCCATAGAATGGCAGATGTCCTAAACAGCACTCTAGCCTCAGAATCAGCCCTTAAGGCATTCAGATCTGGCTAAAAAGCCCATGAGAGTATTTCAGGCATGGAAAGTGAGGACATTCTGGCAAAAAA